TCTCAGTGTTTTTCCACACTGCATATTCAAATTCAATTATTTTTCATGTTTAATATTGAAGAATAACTACGTTACTTGGTTCGTGCCTCATACTATGGACAACTGATACGAGGTACTGAAGTAGTGCAGAGAAAGTCCAGTAGAAAAAGATGGTTACAAGGGAGAGTGTGTTTCACCTCTGAATATCGGAGCTCAGGTCTCAGGACAGGTCATAAGAGAAAGGATTTTGTTCATCCTGCCCTATTTGGCACCAGCCTATTGAACCTACAGAACTTGGCACGATTAACCATGTGCTTTAAAGGTGCCCAGCACAGGAATAACAGGGGCAGCTGTCTGAGATTAAAGCAGCAATAGAAACCAGGGCATGGTAGAAGCTGGGGCAGATGAAACAACAGGCAGGAACATGTTAGGTGCCAGGTGCTTACACAGACATGGGAGGCATACAAATCTGACAATACTGTTATTATCTGACCTTCAGAAAAAAACAAGTAAATCCACAAATTCTGTCATCACTGGGGGAAAAAAAATTAATGTAATTGAAAAGGATTTCCAGGTGAAGATACAAAACCACATGTCAACACTGCTAGCATCCCAAAAGAACCTTTAACTGAATCAAAACGTGTCTTATTCTTTCCAGGACACCATTTCATTATTTTCAAAAACAAAAAAAGCCATCAGTCTCTTTCAGGTTTTTATATTCCCACTTCCCAAACTGATTTGCACAATCACCTGAAGGCAAAACTGACACAAATTCTAAGAGACTTGTATGAGGATGTGGGGAGTCTATGCATAATTTATGAACTTTTAGTGAAATTATGAAATTGCTATACTGTGCCACTATATGCACACAGCACTGCATCACATCCCTCCCTGACATTCGTCCATCATTATTCCTAAACAGAAGATAGGGAAGCTAATTATGTCCACACACACAAGAGGATAATTTAGAAGTAACAGTCCACATTTTGGTAGGAATCTAACAAATGCAGCATGGAAGAAGGGGACTGCAGCAGTGGTCTCCCCAGGGCTTTCTGTGGAGCTCGTGCTGCTCTTGTCTATATGCACTGGAGATCGCATGGCAGGAGTACCTCCACAAGGAGCAAGCATCTGCTACTCGTTCAGGCTCTGCGTATGCTAACTCCTCTTTGATGACTTCTCTCTCTCTGCACCAGGAAGCCATCTGTGCCTGATCTGCCCCATGCACAGCAAGAATTCAAAATGGAAAGCAACTTCTTGAAGTCAATAAAAGACCATTTACAAAGGCCTGTCCTTGACAAATCTAAGCTTTGCGTGGCTGGTGTCATGCCCCTGGCACTTAACTTCCTTCCCCAGGGGCGCATCTAAAATGGGAAAACAGAATCGACCTCTGTTAGGCTACAGCAGCATAGTCTAAGCACTCCCAAGGGGTCAAAGCAACAAGACACTCAAAAGGGGTCTGAAATGCATTTCCTTCCCTCTCTTAATCAGTTGGTCTCTGATTCAAAGTATCTCAAACCTGTTAACAAGCAATCTTACTCCACTATACAATGAATATGCTTTAATTATAAGAATAATTACATTATCCTAGCTCATTTTTGCTCCAGGAAGGAAAGCAGGTTCCTTTGCCAGGTGACCTCTCAATTCTACTGCAAGGTTAAGCTACCTGCAGAGCCCTCTGGTGCCAAATAATTCACTGGAAAGCAGCAAAGTTGGTGCTAGAGTAGAAGCCTGCCTTCTCCCATTGCAGTGACAGAGATAAACCATACGTCTGTTTATCCAACTGATCTCTCAAGGCTTGGGAGGCTCAGGGAAATTAAGATTTGGACTTACAGAGATTGATGGTGCTGTCAGTCACAAAACAAGCTGGTAGCTACAGAGGGAATGTGAGTCTTCTCACATTTAGTGACAGAAATCACATATCCTTGTACAAGTGACTGGAACCGTGTTCCTTTAAACAGAAAGACTTTTGCTGCCTGGTAGAGAAGAGACCACAGCTACCTTGACGAGGGTTTATATTTCTGTCAATACAAACTCCTGGGGAAGGAGAGGGCAAGAGCAGATGACAATTGTAATATGTGCCTTGCCATAAAATATTATTTGAAATGAGGTGTTATGTTTCTCCTAGATTTACTTCTCCTTTATACACATGAACTTTGTCTAGTCAGAGCAAATGCCTACCAGAACTCTACACTCCTTCCAGGCATGGTCTTCAGAGACTTGTTCCTATGTTTTGCAGCAAAATTTCAGCATCACATTAAAGGGAACACTTTCTAGGCTGTACCAGACAGATAAAGAAGCCATTTCCAAGCTATTTACACTGCAGTAACTTCCACTTGTTGAAAACAGAGAGAAGATAAAGTCTCTGCCTGACAGAGCTGGCATATAACAGGAGATACTACAGGAGAAAACAACGAAGATGTGCTACTCCATGAAGAAGTTTTGCTACTTTAGAGCAAAAGAGGAGGCAGCTGAGACTGATACTGTTGAAGCTGCAAATGGACTATAGCGCGAAGTTTTGCTCAACGGAGAGCGAAGGTATGGGGGAAGAAAAGCACTTTGTCTTCATCTGCACAGGTCTAGCAAACATGCAATCAGCTCTAATTAATCCTGAAGGAGCCCACGTAATTTATGTACCCAAACGCCATCTGGTTGATAGCACAGCACTTGGCGGGCAGGGAGAGACACGCACAAACACACCATGTCAGCTGTGGCCGAGCTCCCGCAAGCCTCGGTGGTGCCGAGGCCCCTGCCCCGGCCGCTCACCTGCAGGACGATGGGGAGCTGCTCCGGGGGGTTGCGGTTCTCCACGCCCATGGTCAGCCACACCTGGAAAGCCGTCAGCTGCTCCGCAAAGAAGGGACTGTGCTGTTGGAGCAAGAGCAGGAATCCAAGTTTGGTTTAAAAAAAAAACACGCAAAACAACTACTTTTGGCACCTACGGACTCGCACAGTTTATTTTTTCCAAAAACAATTCTTTTTAATTGGCAAACATTTGTTTGGGTTTTTTTTAAATGTATAAAAATTTTCCAAAGACCGACCAGACACAATTCCCTTTAAATATGCTGGCATTCTCTAACGTGTCTGAAAAAAGGAGAAGGAAAGAGTAGAGAAACAGGAAAAGATATCACAAAAGGTCTCAGGGAAATCTGGTGAATCTTTTCCACATGAGAAGCAGATAGAACAGCAGTGGATTTATCTGCTCTGCAGAGGTAGTTTCACTCCTGTAGCAGCACTCAGTGCTACCTCTGCCCAGTCCACAGTGAATACAATCCAACAACAATGAAAAATATGTCCATCCACGTCTCAGTCTTCCTTGGCTGCCATAAACCTCTCCTACAAACAGGTGGCAACTCAGATGTGCTGGTTTGGGTTGTAAGGCTGTCTCCTATTTATCAGTTTTTTAATTCAAGCCTTTTATTTCGCTATCCATCACTTCTGACACCCATAATGCAGTAAAAGGACTTCATACAGGCAAAAAATCAGAAAGTCTATTTACTATATTGAATCTACTAATTTATTAGAGATATCCTGGTAGTGTGGTAAATGAGCATAAAAGTAACATGCAGAGTGCTACAGCATTTAATAGACTTTACACTAGTGCCCTACTAAAGATGAGGGGTGGGATGCACTCCCAACATCAGCTAATACCTATCGGTTGTGCTTTGGTACTTTGACAGTACTCAAGACAGTTACAGTCATATGTTGTTTTACAAAATGCATCTGAATGGCACCCAGTAAATATAAAGGATACTGGCTTGTAGTATCTCTAGGCATAAAGGAATCTGGTTTAGGGGACAGCAAATACAAGCAGAGAAAATATCACAGACTTTGAAGAACATCCGACATAACTACAGTCTTACTCTAACAAGACGTGATTGTTTGGGGGTGCACCACGCTGGCTGGTGAAACAGGAAGTTTACTTGGCGAGATCTGACATTTTGCAGCACGTTTTAAGTCCCCGGAGCCCGCTCAAGTGTGCAGAGCGTCTCTCGTCTCCCAACACCAACGGTGACTGGCCAATACTGTGACACTTATTCCCCAAAGCTCTACCCCGCAGCGCGCACTCGGACAGTCCCTGGGCACATCAGCATCCCCTGCCAGCGCCGCAGCGCTTGAAGAAACGCTCCTTTTGCCATCTACCACACCAAGCACGTGGTGCAAGCTAGGTATGAGGAGTACCAAAGCACACAGCAGCTTCCAGTTAGAAATCTACAGGGAAACAGAAATCAAGGGGGAAGGAGGCAGGGAAGAGATGGGAGGAGGGAGAGTAAACCAACACAAACCCGCTTCTGCCCAATCGCCCCCCCGCCCCCCCCCGTACGAGCGCTGTGAGCCCGCAGGCCCTTCTCCATCAGGTTATCTTATTTTCCAGGTCTGACTAGGAAAGAACACCTAGAGAATAAGCAGAAGTCAGACGCACGTGGTTTATAATGTGCTGCTGAAACAAAACAGCCCTGGAGAAATTATCAATTGCTTTATCCAGGGTCAGATTGGACTCTAAACCCGCAGGGGCCAACACGGCCGGCAAATGGACGGCAGCAGGTAATCCTGTGACTCACCCGGGCATTTGACATCCCAGACACCGATTGCTGCTCCTGCCAGCCTAGTTATGAAACAGGCTGACTAACCTCAGTAACGCAACGCCCCTTCCTCCTGCCTTGCACTGAACGACAATTTCTCCCAGGGTTACTGCTGGCCAGCAGCAGCTAAAACCTTCTCCGATACACAACGCTTCTTGCCGGGCGTAAATCAAGAGGTTTGAGGGTAAAACGTTGATTAGAACAGAAGGAATAGATCAGAGGTGTGCAACCATCTGTCTGCTCTAACCGTTTGTCACAGTCTAGAGCTAAGCCCCTTCCACTCCCTCCCAAACAAACAGCCAAGTTTCATGCTCCTTCTGTAGGTGTCTCACAGAGACATTCAACAGGGTAATGTCCGTCCTCTCTCTACAGAACAGGCACAAACCTACACGGTATGAATCACGCTGCATTTCAAATGAAAGCGTAAGGAAGAGCTCAGAAGAGGACTTGATCCTGCCTTTACATCTAGTGCCCGGGCTACCTTGGAAACTCGCAGCATTCCGGCTCCCAGCTGCGACTGCACGTTGTTAGCTCTACCTACCTCAAGTTCAAGTCAAAATACACAAGAAATTACATTTGCCAGGCTTGAAAACCTGGTTGTAAATTGCTTCCACCCTATATTGAATCAATCACTAGTTGAGAATAACCAGTCTTATTTGCTGATCTCTTGGTCTAACCCCTAGCAAGCATTTGCCTCCTCTCATCCCTGAAATACACAGAAAATTGCTAAATTTCAACTCACTTGACAGCAAGTGCCCAGATGAGGTCTAAGACTAATATAAAAGCACCCACTGACATTGTTAAAGACCTGAAATAAAAATGAACATAAGCTAGGAAAGGAAAAATCATATTTGTTTAAATTTTAAAATACAGCACATACAGTGGAGAAAAAAAAGGGCTGGAGGACAAAAGCCTTAAAGCATCTTTATCAACCCCCAGCCCCGCAGAAGTCCACAGCTCTCCTCCTGTACTCAGGTCTTGGAGACAACCCTCAATCGCAGCCAGAAAACCTTTTGGAAGTTTGGCAACATAAATAAAATGCAAGAATGTTACTGTAAAATTAGAGAGAATATCACAGTGGAATGGGTATCTGAGGTTGTACGGTAATTACTATTTAAAGGTTTCCGTTCCTGAAATGTCAAAAGAATATAAGGAAAAATCCATTCTGATTAGATGAATTTAAGCCAAATATAATATTAAAAATTTTACTTTTCTGCTCTCTGAGATTAACTAAAGTAGAACACACACACACAGACACCCCCCCGTGACTCATATTAATGATACTATGCTTAAGAAAACTCTTTGGACATACCCTCAACCTTTATTTTATTTTCAAATAAATATAACTCCACTAAGATTATTTTTGCGTTAAAGTTATTCATTTCAAAAATCATGCTGGCATGTTGCAGGTTTTTTTTGTAACAATACAAAAGTTAGTCAAGACTGAGTGCTCTGAAATTTTCAGAGTCAGGTCTCGGGCATCATTTCTACTGGTAGGAGTTGCTTCCTCACCAACAGGTGCGGGCTGAATCAGACATCTCATGCAATAGTGAAGAACTTAAAGCTAATTTTCAATCTATTCCTCTGAGTGAGGTGAGCAGACATTTACAATTTTCAAAAAATATAAACCCTTAAACTGCAACAATTCAAGGCTCAACAAGCAAAAGTGATGCGCTGAACTGAGGTTTCAAATAACGGGTTAAACTGGGCACACAACATTTCAAGATACTATCCAACTTACCCTAAAGGCAGTTCCTTCCTCTATAATTGTAGGTAATTGGGAAAGGCAAATATCAACTGCAAGGTCCCATGCTTGCCTAGAGAAAAAGGTGAAAGAGGAAAGGGAAGTCATTACAAGTTATCCATAAGTAACAGCGGGGTAAATTTAATCTGATCATACAAGTATCTGGACAAAGCAGTGTTGTCTGACTGGCTTAGAAATGCTTAATATTCCCTTTTTTTTTAAAAGGCAGATATAACATACGAAAACTATTCAGAGAAACAGTGAGAAAGTCTAGTCCAGCATCGCATCAGGCTGCCCAACAAAACGTGAGCGAGGTAAAACTATCCCTAGCTGAAGTTCACAGAAACTGCTCCTCTCTGTAACACAGAAAGAAGCCAGAGTGAACTGAACTCTTATTATACACCCGTCCTCATGCAAAAATGGATGACCTCTTTTTTAACCTAGAAAAATGAACTCAATCCTGGATTAGCTCCAACCCATAATCCTTCAGCACACACCTCTATACACATCCAAAACCTCGCGTGCTCTGTACCCAAGTCACATCAGCTCAGGAGGATGCAGTCCTGCTGAGAAGCCCTCCAACTCACAACTCATGGATACACCTACACCACCACACTAATCCTCCTCTTCCGCATCCTCGACACAGATACCGTGTCACTGCACGCATCGCTGAGAAAAGTAACTCGGTCTCCATTAATCTAACCCCGAGTTGGGTTTTGCGTGGCAACCTTGTTTACAAAGATCGGCTCTACATGACTCACCCTAAGGATGGAGGGATGTACGTTAAACTAGAAGAGGAGAAAACATTTAAAGATTTCAGTTTTTACACTTATCTACTGTATTATTTAATGGCTAAAGTATTGTGACTCACAATGTTTTAGTGTTACAGTTGTAACAGCACGTAAATTACGTACACGGCCAAGGAACCTGTTGTGGCTGATTCAGTGCAAACAAAATGTGCTAACAGTCTGCTTCAAAACGCTCACAAACTAAAGGAGGACCAAACTAAAATGAATGCATTTGGTCTCCAAAGTTCCTAAAACACCTCTAAAAAAGTGAAACAGTTACTTTTTACCCCAGAAATGATTATCCCTACTCTATCCATAGATGTTCCAAGCACTTTTCATTTTAACATACAAATTCATGCACTTTGAAGGGCTAGTGAGTTCAACCACCACCCGCTGGGTTTTTTTACACAAAAGAAACTAATTTACTCTCCAGACACATTTGCTCTTCCATGGCTTGTGGCCATCATGTGTTAACATCAATAGGCTAAGCAATTTTTCTTCTCCTAGGAACATTTGCAGACATAAGGCCATAGGTGATAATCAATACAGTGTATTTTAGTTACCTGCTCTAGTAAGTTCTTAAATCACCCTGTTTTGAGTCAAAGCCTTCCATTAGAACAACTGCCGAGCAAAATCCATCCCATTAGCCTAACTGGCAGCTGTTCTCAACCGAAAACACTCTCTGCAATTAGATGGAAAAATAAACTATAAGGCTGTTGCATTTTTTCTATGGCTTCAAGAGATGCAACTTGTTTTAGTTGCCCCAGACATTGTCCCACCGCTTCACAGCATTCACCTTCCACTTGACAATATGCTGCCAATATAATTAAGAGGTAATCAAGAGATAATCAAAGCACAGGCAACAAATGCTTCCCACATGCTCAATAAAGACCCGTGCTGGACACAAAATGTTTACACAGAGCTGATGAGAGAGAGAGTTATTCTTGGTTGAGGCAGAAGCAAAGTCAATTAGTACAAGTATAAAGATAATTTTACTTCAAGCAAAGAATGAATATTTCAGACTTTCAGGCCTCTTGGAGGAATGGGCAATACCACCTAAAGAAATTCTCCCAAACATTAGAAAATATCAATACATAGTGCCTTTGAGAAAAGTTTTACTACATAGGAGAAAAATGGTTTACAGATCAGAGATAACTAGTCTTATTTTGGCTGCCTATAAAAGGATTCTGCGTAGGTCATTATACTGCAGAGGCACAGAGCTAAGATGCTGAACTCCTCAAAGTCATTTTAGGTAAGAAGCACTAATAGTGCTATAAAGCAGCCCTGCAAGGTCAGATCTCAAAAGTTTTAAGTGTTATCAGCAAGAACAAACGAAAATTTAAAAAGATATTTTAGTAGATTAAAACAAAATCTCTTTTTACAATTTTAAAAACAGGCCATTAAAAGTCAATGTAGCCACACAGCCAATGTTACTCAATCTTTTAAAAGAATAACCACCAATATAAAATCTTAACATTACTGCTCATCACAATCTAGAGAGCTGCTGATTAACATCAACTGTGTAAAAAGACTCTAATCAATTCAAATACTTAAAATGATTCTCCAGCCTTTCCAAACTAGCTCAACACACCGTTTCTGCTCCATCTCCGCAGGAAACAGAAAACCTCCCCACCCAACCAGACATGTGAGCAAACAAGTTTTGCCTGAAGTAAACATCACGCTACCTCCAACTACTAGCACAGCCACACGTCCCTTGCGAGACTTTAGGTCTCACAAACCATGAATGAGTTGTCAGATAGCTAACCCACTGCATTGGCAAAACAGACATGGCATTAAACAGGCATTACAATAATTAAAACAAGCCACAAAGGAAAGGTAAAGGACTAATGCCACGGACTATGTGAAGAGAAACAGAAGGGGAAAAATACTTGTTAACAGTGATGGTGAAAATAATGGCTGCTGGTGGTGGGGAGGAGGAGCAGTGATTGACTGTTTTAATATGCCAAAGGGAACTAGAAAGGTGGGCAATTTGTAGATATGCTCTCTGAACTAATATTACACTTTAGCACACAAACAAGAGATAAATTAGGAAGCAGCAGAGGAACAAGGATGGGTGGCGTTGCATCTCAGAAGTGATTTATGAAAGCCAGCCCAAGAGATCACTACCTCCCTTCCTTCTTTGTGGAGACTACTGTTTGCAAAGCGCTTTGGAAGATTTGTTTTCACTACATCAGGTACAAAAAGAGCTGGGTAATACCTCAGCATCGTTCCTTCCTCCTTCCTTATTGCGCTCTTCCAATAACCCCTGGACCCCTTGCTGCGACAAGACGACACTACGATGCATCCACTGGGCGATAATCTACTGAAATACCGCAGCGTTTCAACTTCACTACGTTATGCTAGTAAAAAATGTGTTAATGAGGTTCTTTATACTATGTTGTCCTAATCACTCTGCATGTACAACAAATTGATAGAGCGCTTGCATAAGAAGAGAGAACAACTCCTCTTTGTACACCCCAGTTAAGTTAGAAGCTATCATACACTTAACGTAAGGTTTTATACACGTTCCTGTTACGTCTCCCCCAAAAGGGCAATAAAAACAAGAAATCCCACACAGCGACTGATTTGACCAAGTCCAAAGGATTTCCATCACGCACCACCCATCAGGAGGTGGCCATTTCAATGTGGTCTAAAACCAACGTGTATGAGGCAGTAACTCGAGAGAACCTGGAAAGAGGCACCACAGGAGGTGAAGCTCGAGTTACCCGTCAGCGGGACCACCAGCCCTCAAACCACAAGCTCAAAAGAATTTTTTACGCAATCAACCACACAGCATGGCTATACTTACCCCTTATGCTTGTTTGAGACCTGGCAACCTTAATAGCATCACAGCTCGAAAAAGGCAAAAGCCTTTTACAGTGCTCCATGCAATGCCGTCCAGCAATCTCATTAAAGAGGTCAAACTCACAGACTTTCAACTACGTCCCATTAGGATGAGGGACTCCTTAGGTTCGACTGCAGAGAAAACGTACTCTCATGCATCTCCCATATATATTTCAGAATAAACGTATATTAAATCCTCTCCTTAGTTGGAAAATTGACTCAGTTAAAAAACAGGCAAGAAAGTGCTTTTGTTTATCCAAAGCAAGCAAAGCAATGCAGCATGCCAACAGAAACAGTCTGCAAAGAAAACAAGCCAACAATGCCCTGCATCTCTCTCTGCACTGATCAATCAGTTCAACAAGGTACTCACAACACACAAGATGCAAGCCATCATCCTGGGAAAGGATACAGGATTTCAGAATATGCGAAAATTAAAAATGAAAAGGCAGTGCTCCTCCATAATTCTACAATAAAAATTAAACACGGAAAGAGCTCTCCTGAATTCCATCGTTAACTCTCTTCTCCCGTGATAGAAACACTCATGTATTTGTCTTTATATTTTAGTTTCAATTTTTCTTAGCCCTTCAGCACAAAGTCCCTATTCGCATGCCCCCCAGACTCCATCTATCTCCCCCCCTCAGTTCAATACCAGTTTCATTACAGTAGGACTGTTTAAACTTTTAATAATTTAACGTGAACTCATCCAGCTGCCTTTACTTTGTTTCCCAGAGGTGCTGCAAAGTTTGGACTTTTAAGCAAAGAACAGAAGGCCGAGAGTTCCAGCTTTGCTCAATGACTGTTTTATTGTGCAAATCCATTAAATGTTCGGTAATGGAAGCCCACAGTAATGCTTTAACAGCATAAATGAAACACGGTTACAGAGATGTGCGTTAGTCTTTCTTCACCCACATGTACTACGCTAGCTGGCAGATCGTGAAGGCAGATTTTCTTACACTCAAATTTTCTGGGCTCAGTCAATGTCTAATGCTTTTAATTCTCATGTCACGTTTTTTATAGCGTATTATTGATGTCTTTTAACATTCTCTCTTCTTCTGGGAATAGTTTGTATTATATTGTACTGCACATAGTATTAGTGAAAATGAGTATTTCTTCTTGGGACAGTCACACTGAGAGCAACTAAAGAGAAGTTGAAGCCATCTGTAGTCTTGGGGCTCAGGCACCAGGGTATCTGCTTGTTTTGAACTGTATTTCTGGAACTGTTAAATATTTCAGACTTTATCAAGTATGTTGGATAAGATTTTTCACGTTTGTTTTTTCTGCAAGTACAGTTCAACAACACACCCAGTTTGACTGAATTTTCAGATTTCAGCCCAAATTCACCTACTTCACAGTGACACTGTGAGCTCCCTAAGCCTGCTTTAGGGGAGCCAGCTGGGAAGCTGCTCAGACACAATGATTTTTAAAAAATATTTATTGCTGTGAATATTTGGCACAACTATGAAATCCTCCTTTCTTCTACCAATAAATTCCCCTGCTCTAGCCACAACTTAAAGCACATGCTTTGCTATTTTTGTCCTACATTTCTCTCTGTTAAACTATTTGTAGTCCGTTAATGGGTCTTGGAGATGTTAAGACTAACACTAGACAAAAAAAATCTGGTTAAATCAACGGTGTAATCTGAATCAATCTAATCCTTCAAATGCCAAACAGTTCCAAATACCCTTTCAAACAATCACTTTCTTCTGCTGAGATAGTAAGTCTTTTTGTGCACCTAAATGAGACTCATTTCTTTGCGAAATCGGTGAGTAGACCTGCATCCATTCTGCAACACTCCCACAATGTTCAAAGACTCCAGCTCCTCTCTTACCTGTAATTGGGTTGCTATATTATGGTTTTCTTTTCAGCTAGAATTTCAAGCTTATTTTATTTGCAGTATGTCATGACTTACTTTCAACTAGAATTTCATGGTTGGTGTACACACTATGCAGTATTTCTATTATGGACAAATCATAGCTCTTCCAAAGCATAATTAAGGTACTTTGTTTTTAATATACGACCTATGTTAGGAAATATTTCCAAACACATTATTAGGTCTTTTCAAAGGCCATGAATATAACTTGCTGCCAACAGCAGTAATGTATAAACCATAATCCATCTCAACAGAGATCAAGATGCTGCCAGAGCATCAGGCCTCCTATTCTTACTGCACAATAGACAGAACGACTCTCGAAGTTGAATAGCACAGCCAGCCAATCAATACATATTAATATTAATACTTGTATTATAGCAGTGCCTGCAGCAGCCAAGAAGCTACAGTGCGAGGCACCATACAAACAAAACAGCCCATGCCCAGAAGAGTTTACGCCTAAGCAGGTAAGCCAGAGAAAGCCAATAAAAGTAAGAAAAACACGAAGGAATGAATATGTCAGAGTCTATCAGCTCTCCTGATTCCTAAACACGGTGCCCTTCTTGGTGAAATAAAAAGATTGACAGCTTGTGGGTCAAATTTTCCCTCAAAAAATAAGCTTTCACTTTTCCTCAATTTTTCAGGTAAAAAGGATAATTAACAGAACAGTTAACAGTGGTCTCCCAAATGAATTGACTGGAACAACAATTTAATAGGTCAACATTTTAAAAAGTTGATTTCAAAAGGACTAAACCAAAAGGAACAGAAGCTGGTATCTCCAGCAACCTCAGTGCTGCTATTACAACCGTGCCAGACCCTCAAATCATGAGACATTTCAGTGCGACTTAGGGAAAATTATCAAACAAGCACAGACAAAGGTAAGCAAAAAAGATAACGAGCAAATGGTTCAGATTTAATGTCTGAAAAGGGGCAGTCACAATTACTCACGAGGTAAACTGATGCCTAAGTCAAGCGTAAGGAACATTTCGCAGACCTGCCCGCCCCTCCGGCGCGCTCACACGGCAGCACACGCCGCCAGCCTCGCGCAGCCCCTCCGCGGCTTCAGCAACGCAACGTCACCAGGAGCGGCCGAGCTCCGTCCTCCAGCTACAGGCAGCGAAGGGGGAAGCAGGAACACCGTGCTCCGACCTCGGCGAGGCAGGAGCTCTTTCTGCTCTTTCCCCTCTCACTGCCTGCGAGATGCTCCCCGTAAGAGAGTTGCAAGGCCGGTGCAGAGCACCACGAGCGCAAATTCAGGGCTGCTGTTGCAATAAGGAGGGAGATCAGGGCAGCGTACGCAAAGTTCAGAAGAGATGGTGTGTACGTTGCTACAGTCAGTGAAACACTGACATTTACTTAGGCCTTTTCTGCAGAAGATGGCGCGAAAAACGTACTAACATACAACAGTAGTTTGCTTCTCCAGTTAGCCTTCTGGGGATATGAATTGTACCTGTATGTAGATCCCATTTTTAGTCACTATCTCAGCTGTGCACGCGCAGAACGGCTTGTGTCCGTAACGGCAGAGAAACATGGTAATCTTGTATTACTTTTTGTGAACAGAGGAGCAAAGCCTAGGAAGCCAGATGAGCACCCAGAAGGTAATGGAAGAGAGGAGAATATATGCATATGTGTACTGGAGAAGATAAAACATCACACCACCACTTAGGCTGCAAGCAATAAACCAAAACCCGAGTCAGGAACACGCACCCGGTGCACACAGGATCAGGGTTACACGGGAACAGCGAAAGGTGCGAGGCCCCAACACAAACAACCCAAATGAACAGCCCAAAAAGCACAGAAGAGGGGAGGAGGAGGAGGGCTGGGGAAGTCCCTTGAAGGCTGAAGTCAGATCCTTGAGGAGCACTGGCCGATACACGCCGGAGCCACTATTTGCATTCATTACGCATTTATAACACTGTAGGAGAGAACCCTGGAGGTTCTTGCCCACCGCCTGCAGATCGAACCATTGCCGATGACACGGCAGCCAGGACTCACTCCCCAAAACATTGTCTGACATGCTGGGTATGAAAAATCTGTGAAAAGGCTCAATAAAGCAGCAATCAGCAAAAACTTGCTGTATCACCCATCACGTAACAACGCAGATGTAGATTCAACGTGATCATCAAATCACATTGTTTGAAGTTTCCGTTCTTTTCAACACTCCTTTGGCCAACTCTCCCTGCCCTCCAGTCACATTACCTAGTTTATCTAAACACTAAAATGGGTTTGGAGGTTTCAGATCAGGGATCCATTAGAAAATTCTTGAATGAAAGGTGATAGATAAGTGCAGATGATTATTTTTAGAAAATATTTAAGCGAGCCCTAAATTAGTTTCTAAATCTGTCCTTGCTAAAAATTCATAATAATGAACTGAGCCGCCTCTGACAAAAGTGGAATTTTCCCCTTTGCTAGATTTGCTTCAAACTGCACATTTTTTGGAGGACACTGAATAAAGTGTGTCAAGGGATTCTCTGCTCGCTTGCTGTCTACTTTGCCAGCGTTTGGGATTCACAAGGAAAAAAGCCCCGCATGTGGCTTTTCTCAAGGAATTTCTTCTTCTGGTAAATCCTAAAAAGCAGCAGCACCATTATCCTGTGGTATGGTCTGAGGGACTTTACAAAGGTATTTACAGCACCATTTTGCACCAGGAGAACTACAATACAAGCGAAGAAAAGAATGTGTTTCTAAAATCCATCACACTACCAAGCAGGACTATGAGAGACACAGAATGGGATCCAGGTCTTCCTAGTTTCATTCCTGTGGTTCAGCACGTGGATGGCAACACCAACTCCAAGTCATACTCCCATAGGAAACCAGAAATATAGGTTTTAAATACGCTGGCAATAAAAATGAATTATATTCCCATCAGGAACCGGAAATACAGGGTTTTTTTAATATGCTGGCAATAAGCAAGCTATAAATAACTCAAGAAATTTACTGTTTTAATTTCAAAACTTCTGCAAAAACCTGTTCCACTCCACTGCAACTCGAAACACACAGTTTGTGGCTGAAGCTCTGCCACATCTAGCTGCAACATCATCTGAAAGACAACATGGGAACTCTGGTGGTTTTTTCTACTCTTCACTTACAAACGTCCCGGTCCCTCATGCGACATAATGATAAAACAACTCACCATATTTACACATGACTGAAACAATCTTCCTCAAAAGTTGCTAATCCAAAGCACTTAAGAACATTGTTTGCCATAGACAAACACACAGTACATTCAGCGAGGCTGCCCAATTGCTAGTAATTCCATCCAAAGTCTCCCCTATTGCCTCCGTGTTTTTCAATAATTAAAGCAGCTTTGTATTACCAGCAAACGCCTCCTCGATGACTGCTTGCACCTGCAAATGCTATTGGGGCTCTCTGTTATTAGCTTGCTCCGTTTCTTAGAGAAAACGTGACATATAATTTGAACTCACTGATGCTGCTATGAGTTTTTTTACTGATCATCATCACTTCATACCTCCTCTACATTTGTCTTCCTCCACAATTTTATGGAGGAAGCTTATCAAAAGGATTTTGAAAATGCAGGCAAATTAAGCCCACTCAGCTACGCTTACCTGCCATTTTATTAGCCTTTTAGCAAGTTACCCAGCTATCATTTTCTCCTACAGAAAACTACATTAGCTTGACTGTATCAGTTTGTACTTAGCCAAATTTTGTACTGTTCTATTCTTAATCATACTGAATAAAAAAAATGAAAGCAAGTATTTTTGTTATTACTATTATTTTTATTATTATTATTCAAGGGCCATTTGTTTGATAGTCAAAACCACATTTAAGAGCTTTTCAGTAAGCGTGCCACCTCCATTTCCATTAATCATCTTAAAAGCAACAGTGAAAGTAGATGAACTCTGCAGCAAAAAATTTCTTCAACAACACAAGTTAAGAATTTTTCCCTTAGGCCCTCAGCTCTCGATTTCTTCAACAACACAAGAATTTTTCCCTTAGGCCCTCAGCTCTCCCCACCCTTCACAATCACAGGTGACTAGTTTTACTTTGTGAAAATAAAGGTAGCAGATGCCCAATTTCTTTTCTATTTGGAGTGAAAGATTACATGGCTGAACTGAAGACTGAAGCTTCTGTATTACGGAATGGAAATACAATTATGTATGCATAGAGAAGAAATACATTTGGAGATGGGTATTACGCTGCCATAAGCTGTTTAATTTTTGATCCACTGACTTAATCAGTAAAGCACTGTGTAGATTTAAGTAGTAACAATCTTTCATGACTACAGCACCTGAAGTCTCCTTAAGGCATCAGCATGCAGCCTTTGCAGCGAGGGTAACCTGTTGGCTGTGACTTACCACATCGCATGCATGTACGTTGGAGGTAGACGAGGGCTGCTGACGGGGGTACAGTTGTAAGACCTCATAATTCTTTCTGCCAAGAGAAAGTTACGAAATAAACTGGCCACAAGCAGGTCTTGCCTGAAGAGCTTCTGGAAAAGGTCTGCCAAGAGATTGCATGAATTACTAGATGCATATCTTTGTAACTTGAGTACCTCAGGTAATAGCAAAAATCATTTAAAACATAAAAATATGTTAATATTTTATTCCAGTAACATGGAATCTACAACAGTTTTGCAGTGACATGATATGACAACTATTAAATGGAAATCTGCCCTCTGAGTTCCCTTAAAACATCACAGTTACTCTCCATTAACAGAATTAAATACTTTCTACCTCAGTCGGGGTTTTGCCTTTTCTGGAAAAAATGCTTCTTTTGGTGTTTCACTTAAACTCAGCCTCCCTAAGTTTTTGGAAATTACTGAGGGAGAAAAGGACCTGTGTGTACTATTTAATCAAGAACTATACTGGCAGTTTGATGTGCTTATGAGAAGCCAGAATTAATCCTAAAAGACAGCAAATGCATCACCTTCTATAGAGGCAAAGAAGAATTTATGCTGTATTGTGCATTAGAAAGAGCACAGTTGGAAAACTGTTTACAGATTTGGCCACCCATGCTCCAGAAGTATGAATTCAGAGCAGAACAGAGGTACAAAAATGAGATGAAGTTACTCATGGGAAACACAGACTGTCTTACCAGCAAAGAGGAAAAAACCCTTTATTTATGATAGTAACAAAGGCTGGAAGAAAACAGATTGCTCTTTACAAATACAGTAAGAAAGAAAATTATTCAATCTAAAGCAATCATGTTAGCACTACAAAAAACCCCTTCCGGTTTCTAATAATCAGGTTGCTGAAATGCTTCTGGTAGAAGAGCAAATATAACTAGCCTTAAGATCCACTCTGACCTGTTCTTTCAATATCAGGCTTTAATTTTCTCCTTATTTCAGTGTCTCATTTATCTTACTCTTCATCCTTCTACTTTGAGTAAGCAATGCTCACTTCCGATGAAAACTTGATGCGCCTGCCCAAGTCCTACCTCTAGGCAAGACATTCCATGCAATGGTGTCTGTGATAGCAGTGAAGATCCAATTCAGCTCTCCCAGGGGAGTTCTCCTGTCATTCAGTCTTCCAGGAATCCTACAAGTGGCGGAAAAAAAACAAGTACATTTCCTATTAAAAAACATATTTTTTGAGATACACACACATGCACACCTCTAAGCCTTAATCAAGGCTCACAAAAGACAGCATTTCCAGAACGTTAATTCTTAACCAAGAATTAATGTTGCTAGACAAACTTTCCTTATCCAAAATCTATTCCATTTGAATTTGCTTACAAGGTGAATTGCCAGATAAAGGATGATAAACAAGGAATTGTTTATAGATAACCGAGCTAAAGGAAAACATCTGGGAAGATATCACAGAGATGATATTGATTGCTGAGATGCAATGGAAATGCCTTTTTCTTAAAAAGTGCCACCCTACTTCATTGTATCCATTATTCACTTCTTGTTGAAATACTTAATAATAAATACAATTTGTATTACAAACTGTATGCTCACGATCCATAACGTCCCTGTGTAAGAACTTTTGAGTGATCATACTCCATAAAAAAACAATTATTATTTTTTAAACAGTCAGAAAGCTCAGAACAGTAAGAAAACACGGTCCTTTTGTTAAAAATTGGCTGCAATTTTTTGCAATTACATGCTGCAAGTAATGCATGTACGTCACAGCTCCCTGTTGCTGCAAAGTACTGCCTGTTCATGAAGAAATGTGACCCAGTAAGATTCACCTTACTGTTCTAGCTAGACTATCTTTTAAGTCAAAATCAGAGGATGCATGTGCCTGCTACAGATGGTGCGGTTGCTCGTTTCTGCGGGGCACCTTTGCTGTTTCTTACAAAGACACACAGTTTTTCACCAGTAGGTTCTCTGAAAACTTGAATTCATTAATTTAGTGCTTACCTGTCTACAGATTTGTTGCATTGCCACCAGTACTGCATGCAGGTGCAAATACAGTGTCTTGCTAAAAAAGTTATTGAGCATAATCAGCAGCTTTTCATCCAAACAGGAGACATTTTCTGCAATTAAGAGCTTTCCAATTAATACACAGGCATTCATGGAAATCAGTAACTTGAATGCCAGTTCCTTAACCTAATTTAAGATTAACATATTACCCCACAGAAACTCAACAGCAAAAGACACATTCTTTCTAAATTCCATAAATCAGGCATTACTAAATCCAGAGTGAAAAACATCACTTCGAAAAGCATTCTGGAGCCCTCCTATTGCAGTCACAGCACAAATGGAGGTACCACATTCTACCCCTCGCTGGCTACAGGCAAGATTTGATGCTCGTCTAGGGAAAAGTATTTACTTAATCCAGGTTTCAGTGTAGTGGTAGTCTACACATGCTGTGTGTAGTCACTTCGTGATCTTACCCATTTGTGCCATGACAGCACCTACACGCCTAAAAAGTACAAAATAATAAACCAGAATTGTTTTATTTCTATTGTGTTCTCTCCCCCCCAAAAGAGAACAAATTCCTTTCCCCTAAAGAGTCAGGGGACCAGCAGCGCAGCGTGCGAGGGCAGCAAACAGCAGGCACTGCCACTGCTGCTGCAAGCTGTCCTGCGACCCACAGCAGCTCCCGGTCTTCCTCCATCTGGTCAATACGCATATCTATCCGGCCTGCAACTGGGAACGTAGTTTCAACCCTGAGAATATCAAAACCCTGTCACAGCAATACATATCAGGGGTCTATTTGTGCTGTAGTAAGGTACTAAAAATGCTGAGGAGTTCAGTTGTTAATTTTATTAAATATTTTAAAGTAGAAAAAAGTGGCACTGATCAGTATCAGGGGTGGCAGCTTTCCAAATAGCCATCTAGTCTTCTCCCTGCTCATACACAGGATATGCAGTGAAAGTGAGCAAAAGTTTTGGTTTGTTTTTGTTTGTTTGTTTTTTAAGAGTATATTTTAGATAGGAGAAAATAACTCAAATTGTGCAAAAACCTGAAATATTCATACTGACATCCCTTTCCTCAAATAAAGGAAAAGCAGAGAGCCAACTACCGATTCTACTGAGGATAATCCACCTGCATGTTACGTGAGCATTTAATAAATAAATGCTTTTAAGTGCATTCCCTTAAAGCCAGAGGGTTCTTACAGTATACACAAGCAGTGTGGGACTGGAGTAACATTTTTGTTTGTGACAGCAAAGGCCCTTCTGTGACTATACCCATACACACGCACACACGTGTGTGTATATTTTGGCTATAAGACCACTTGCATTTAATAGAAGATTCTAAGAACACTCCAGTTGTTAACCTCTCTTTGAAAATCACTGGCATCAGTGCACAGGTCCCTTAAATCTTGGATTCTGAAGTTTTATAGCAGTACGCTCACTATGTTTTTAACAGTGATATCTATAGATAAAAGGAACTCTTTGCTGTAAAATTTCCACATGGCATGAAGACTCATCAAGTAGTAAAACACAGAAACAAAAACCAACCCCCTCCAAAAAACCACCAGTTTACCTTGGAAAGCCCTAAGCATTTAGGGATGGTAACAGACAGGCAACCGAGCACGGATCCTTATCACAAGAAAGTAGCACAGCAGCACATCTTGTACAAGCGAGCGAGCAGCGGACAGAGGTGATTTTGCCTTGTATAGCTGAGACTGATACTAGAATATTTTGCCTAGGATTCACATTTTGGCGTTCATTTAAACTGCTTAAAAACAGGACATACAAAATATAGAAGGTGCAGAAAAAGCTTAAAAGAAAAAAAAGATAGTGAATGAATGTCATACAGTGAGAAATTTAAGGAGGTCATTCTATCTACCTTACCAAGGAACAAGTTGAACATTGTGGATAAATACCTACAAGAGAGAAAAATCTTGGTGCCAACAAATAATTTACACAAGTGGAGAAAGAAAGAAGAGCACTTGACCATTAAAAGAAAGGGAAGCAATTTAATCTTCATCTTTCACAGGTTCAAGGCGCACACACACTTCAGAGGAGCACGAGTTATTTGGCTCTGCTGAGGAGTAACCCGGTGAAATTCTGTAGCCCGACATACGCAGAAGGTCAGAGCAGACAAACTAACAGTCTCCTCTGGGCTTAACATTTATTATTCTAAGCATCAATAAACCAGAGACAATGGCCTGACCGAAGCACAGCCAGTGAAGGTGGAACAGCAATGTTCCACCAGGAATCGTGCTGTTCCAGGTCCAGGATCTTGCTTTTGTAGACTGAAAAAAGCCACTCAAATTTATTTCATCCAGGAGCTGAACCTGATCTCATACTGTATTTATTCATTTGTAATAAGACGCGAGGTCCAAAGGAACTTCAGGACCAACATGCAATCTGATTTCTGTGATTTAAGAGACCAAATGATAGTCTACTATGACTCAAAATCAACATACGCACAACACTACTTAAAGGAAGAAAAGTGGCTGTAAATGTTCTTCAATATCTCTCAGCTTCTGCCTCCAAGCTGATCTGCTTTCCTAAAGATGCTTTCTAATGCTTATTTGCTTCTCACAAAAACAGGAAAAGAAGAAGAAAAAAACAAAAAACAAAACGCAAAAACCCCACCCACCCAAGACCAACAGACTCGGTCCTAGGCTGTCTTATTAATACTCAGGCACGCGAATACACAAGCACAACCTGGCACTCTCAAGCACGGCGTTTTTCCCCTTGAGAAAGTATCAGAGAGAGGATGGGGAAGTTTCAGAAACGTGCACCTAACCCGGTAGGACATCCTACAGATTTAATCCTAACGCACCCCAGCTTCCCTTCTGTAACAAGCTTTCAAATATTAAAAGTATCAGGACAAACTACATGAAGCAAGTGCTTTCTCTATGGCAACTTACTCTTCTGATATGTATAGCAGTATTATTTCCATGCAGCTTCAGATGAAGCATAAATAGTTTCTAAAACAGCTAGAAATTAAGATCTTATAAAAAATTCCTGTCTGTCTTCATATCGGAGGAAAAATACACATCTCTGAAACACTGTTTGTTAACTGATCCCCCAGAGCAAGCAGAGGGAACACGAGGCCACACAACTGCTCTTGTGAGGATTTCACATAAATATTTGCATTGCAGAACACCCTCTGCAGCAAAATAGCAGCATTTCACAAGTCAGAATGTTATTAATTAGAAACCAAAGCAATCCTTGCTGAGATTCCCTAGCAAGCCAAATGCTGAGCTTAAACCATTTGATGGCCACTTGCAAGCCAGTTTTCAGTGGAAATAGAAATAGGGTCTTTCACGGTAGAGTTTGAATCTTTACACCAGATGGAGAGTTCTGTGCACCATTGATACTAAATTCTCTTTATTAAATGCTGATTGTCTGCTTTCTTGGGGAACAAGGTATGCTTGTTATTTTTTTTATTTAAAGACTTAAAATAACTACTCATTAGTATAGTATAGGTTTTATTTTGGATTTTAAAATGCATTTGGTATTTTTCCACAATATCACTGTCCTTTCTAAGACTGACTGCAAGATTCATAGAAAATAATACAGCTACCTACAAGGGACTGCAGACAAGAAGCAGAAATTAATAGGATGTCATTCTTACATCTTATGTGGCATCAGGCGAGTTCATTTTCTTTCTGCCCTCATATATAGTCAGGAAGATACTAATTTCGTACCTAGCACCAGCATTGTGAAGATTAATGCTGCTCAGTGCTTTGAAAACCTATGCATTAGGTGTTAACGGTGAGGGCAGAGAGAGTGTGGGGAATAGCACAAGAATGAAGGCCAATACATTTCCATAACTGCACAAAACCCTACCAGAGCTTTCAGATTTTGAACTGGAATTAGAAAGCAGCTATTAGAAGAGAATTGGCAGCAGGGCTGTTCCCTATGCTGCACACAGGAATCAATTAAAGTTGGAACAGTCACCTCTATAAATCGGCAGATGAAAATAAACACAATGTATTTTCTGTTCCTAGATGGGACTACTCAAACTCTCGTCCCAGAAACTGGAGGACAGTTTGTAATACTCCACTGATGAGCTGAGCGATCCAAGGAAGGGATTTTTAACACAGTATTACTCAATGACAGTTGATCTTAATCATCTTTGAGAATTAAAGTTTAAGCTTCCAAAGGCAACAGAAAAGTTATTCTT